GAACACGAAGAAGAAAGGGGTTCGGTGCGTAGGCAGCTTATCACGGCTTTTCCGAGATTCCCTTCGTCAATTGTCGATACAGAAAGTCGAGTGATTGTCATTTAACTATACACATTACTTAAATCTGGAGGCTTAATTAGAAAGGAGCTACTACACGACTCTAAGACGCTACTAACGTTTCTTTTTTTTCTTTTTACGCTAACAGTTCTTCGTTACAGGATCGCGCTTCTCTTCCATCTTCTCTTTTTTTTTTCCCTTAAGCAACGCTTCTCATCGTCTTAACGACTACTGCTTAGTTAATTTCTACAATTCTCACTGGCTTACAACGTACAGTGTTTTTTTTTCTTCAGTATTTTTAAAATTCAGCCGTCCTTTGTACGCGCGCTAATCGAGAAAAAAAACAAACGGATATCCTATACATTTCCGACTACAAAGGTGTCGTCTCGTCACGAGAGGCTCTGAACGATCTCTCCGTCTCACTATTTCTCTCTCTTTATCACCTCGAAAATTAGGCTCCATTGAATTGTACGTTTGTCTCTATGTTCGTTCCTTTTCTCTTACGGTATACCTTATATCGACGTGGCAATAGCGATAGCGATACAGTCTCGGTACGATTTGAAATATTTGATAGCGGCTCCATCTCATCGAGGCCTCTCTTCGCTATTTCCCCCTTTAAAATAAGAAATCCCATCGAGAATTCGAGACCTAAGAACGCGGTCGAACCTTTCCTTTCAAACAAAGGTAAGATGATGATTGACAGAAGTTGATTGATAGCTCGTTCATCCGCGGTCCCACCGTCTCGTCCTCGAGATCTAAATTGGCGTGACTCTCGTGAAAGCAAGAGCAGGCAAAAAAATCGCGAAATCACTCAGTCAACAGGCACACCAACGAATAATCCGCGTGTCCCAGCGACCTGCGCGACGTCGAGACGTTATGCACGCAGAAAAAGAAACCTCGCATTCGGATTCCCTTCGCCCATCCGCGCCCGAAGGATCGAGATAATAACCAACGTGCCAATTTAGAAGAGTCGAATCTAAGGACAGCAGCCTTATTCAAGCAAGGGAGATACGAACTGTTGGCGGTTTGATACAAAAGTAAAGTATGATCTTTACAAGGAAGTTCCTTCCTTTGTTATTCAGATTGTGTCATCCAATTGTGGTTATTTTAATGTTACAGCATGTCGACATTTGAACAGATCGTTATCTCGATCCTCCTAATCCTTTATGTAAAACACCCGTCGGTACGATCTCCTTTATAAAAATTTAAAACTGGAAAGTAGTGATTGACTACTTATTTTGAGTATTAAAAATATTGTGTTCAGTGCTTTTAATACTCGAAATAAATAATTAATCACTACTTTTCAATATTAAATTGATCGGTACTGGATTTTCTGTTTAAGGATTATCGACGCTCTATCCCGAAGACTTTTGTTACTGTCCGCACTTTGGAGACCCTGTGTGTCTTTTAAATGCTTCTCCCCTCTCGCGATAAACTAATGTATACTTATTATAATTTTTCGAGCTGAGTTTCTCCATGTAAGTGAAAGTGTAATATGTGTGTTTGTGCGTGTTATGTATGTTCGCGCATATTTGCCCACACAGCACACATCCAAGGGACATCCTGAGAACATCCTTAGAATGATCGTCCTCTAGATGTCTTTAAGATGTCCCTTAGTTCGTACTATATGGGTGTCATCAAAGTATTTTCTTACTGCTGGCCGCCTGTTACCACGTAACATTTAAATCATTCTCCCAATACTAGAAGAAGGGGTTACTCGCGAGTCGCGATGTACCCTAACTTTGAAACACGGGAAAAGAATTTGACGCGAGAAAACGGGGATGCCGTCGGCTTGTTGCATCGACGGCACGCGCGTGTCACGTTTTAGATCCGTTCCTTTCTTGATTTGAACGACGCCTAAGGCCCCGATTAGGCAAGCAGATCATATTCCTGATAATTTTCTCAACGATATACCTAAGATAGCACAGATATAGTCATTTAAAACTCATCATATACATATATTTTTTTTATACCTCACACCTCCAATCACGTTAACGTTGCGTATGTATGTACGTTGCGTGTATATGTGCGTGTGTCACGTGTCCTCCTCCGTTTTTGCCGGTTCTATGTACTTGAGTTTCCGCCGCGCATTATATAATATATATTTATATATATATATTTATATAGATTAATCTTCTCTCTAATTTATGTGATAATCCGTAACACGTTAGTAACCCTATATATAGTTATCCCTTATTAATAAAATATAGATTATCCGGATTGTAGCCGCATTTTACAGGACACACCTGTTACAATGCGATATATCAAATATATAATAGATATAAGTCCGTGAATGTATGTGTGTTTGGGTCTGTGTGTGCACGACTCGCGTCTGGAGCGTGTGTATGTCTGTTTGTATATTTCGCGTACATAAATGGATTAGTGAATACCCTCTGTGTGTAGGCTAAGCTTCTATTAACGTGGCTCTCTACCAGACCCCGAATTTCCTTGGTCCGAGTGCGATGTCTCACCGACGTCGCCGCGCTGCCGATTTCTATCGTGTCTTCACGACTCTTTTTCGACCTCAATGAACCGAGCGATCTTCAATATGCAAAATTTTGCTTGACAGAAAACAGACACTCGCGTCAGGATAATGAAAATGTTAAGAACTCAGACACAATGAAAAACGCAGGCAACAGAAACAGGGAATAAAGAAAACAATAGATTTCAATCTACCAGAAATTGCTGTGCATTGATATTACACGGTTTCTGATAGGTTAAAATCTATTACCTGTATATTATTTCTTGTTCCTATTGTCTATGCTTTTCATTGATTACAAGCAGAAAAAGTACAGCAGAAAAAGCAGCTTTGCAACCGTTGTAAAATTCATTAATATGATTGACTTTGCTCTTAGTTCCTCTTACTGGATCTAAATGTATAAATCAATCATATTAAAGAATCTTACAACAGTTGTAAAGCTGTTTTTTTTTTCTACAGAATGCAGTCACTGTGACTGAGTCCTAATGCTCATTTTATTCTGAATATCCTCATTCGATAGAAATCATTTCTTCTTTGATTGTTATCCATGCATTGTGTCTTTCACGAAGGTTTTCGTCGCGTTCATTCGCAGTATCATTCTTTACCGGAGATTCTGTTGGATATGCGAAAATGTTTACATCGCGGGAGGGATGAAAGTGAACCCTCGTTGAACTGTCACCGGCTGATTCCTCGCGCGACGAGTCTGGGGAAATTTCGGAGTCTGAATAATCTACGACACCATGTAGCGAGTGCTGGCTACTCCAACCCTCACCTCGGCCCCCCTCAACCCAGCTAGTGATATAATCAATCTATCCGTCTACAGGGTGCCTCTTCTTCCTCATCACTTTTTTTTTCTTCTTTTCATTTTTGCGCACCAGGACCGTCCGAACGGAAAGGAGGAAGGCCGATCTAACGTGTGTCGTAACGGCGACAGAATAAACCGAATAGATGTGCGATTTAACGTCGGGCACCCTGTAGATATCTATAGTTCTGTATATAGCTGCCCCGTTTTCCGGTACGTTTTTCTACTAATAATAAGTCCATTGGAAAGAACGGCTCGCGCCGCTCGTCGAAACGAGTTACTTTTGGCGATAACGCTTCGGAGGAATCTTGCGCTGAACTTCTCCTTCTGCGAGAAGAGCTGATTGTCACCATTAGAGTGGCGTGAATGATGAAAGAAAAAAAGGAAAGAAAGAAAAAGTAACGTTC